CCCCTGGATTTTTGGGAATGGGGTTGTACTTTAAAGTAAATATTTTTACTTTGTGATCTGTAAGACTCATTTGTTTTTTATATAATTTTTTTTTAATTATCCGTCTGTTTATTTAAGATTTCTTGCAGACTCAGCTTTTTCATCCCACTGCTTCCTTGCAGGGAGCTGGACACAGTTTTTTCCCTTGGCTGTGACTTGGTTTTCCTTCTTCAAGGGACAACGGGCACCACCCTCAGAGTTATGGAATTATGGAATTGTTTGGGTTGGGAGGGAACTTTAAATCACCCAGAGCCACCCCTGCCATGGCAGGGACACCTCCCACTGTCCCAGCTGCTCCAAACTCCATCCAGCCTGGCCTTGGGCATTCCAGGGAATAATTCTTCCCAAAATCCCACTAAATCCCTCCTCTCTCCATTTGAAGCCATTCCCCCTGAGCAGAAATAATTTCACTTAAAGCCAGCACAGACTATCAGGAAAAGCAGAATATGAGCAAAGGTGTGTTAGCCTAATTAATAATGCAAACCAGGAGCTAATTTTACCCCAAATATGATCATTAAAATGTAATTTATCCCCAGCAGCTGCTGATGGAGATAACTCAGTGCAGCAGCATTTCATCAGTGCCTCTCAAGGACAATTTTTATTCTGAAATGAGAGGCTGCTGCCCTGATAGAAAATAACGATCCTGAAATGCAAGAGGTTGCAAATGATCTCTGGAAATGGGGTGGAAACAGAGCTGTGCTCTTGGGATTGTCCTCTGGCAGGTTGGCATCCTCAGCCAGGTGCCAGGGAAATCTGGGATTTCACAGAGCCCACGGTGAAGAAAGAAGAAACTGCAAAGCCAAGAGCTGGCCCCAAAAATCTCATTTCAGCCCCAGCAACAAATCAGATTCAGCTTTGAGATGAACCCTATCCAAAGGATGGACAGAGAAGGATTTCTGCTTAAAATCCATGGCAAATATGGAATTATGTGTGGCGTACTTAAAAAAAAAAAAAAGCCAGCAGCAACAACAAAAAAAGCAAAAAAACAACAACAACAACAACAACAACAACAACAACAACAACAAAAAAAAAGGCAAAAAACTACAAATTGT